ATGTCAGTCCATTTTTAAAAGAGACCTGAAATCAACGAATAAATTCCTACAAACATCAAAAGTGAACTATTCCTGAGATTTTCTGGTACTTACAACATCACTTCCTCTTATCCAACTGTCATTATTTCTCTTCAGACACTCATTCCGCTTACAAGATAATGGGTTCACATTCCGTTAATGCCGATCTATTCTTTTTCATTGATAATCTTTTCGAAATTAGAGTTTTAAGTCTATCACAAAGGTTCTGGACCGGGCAAAACAGGGTGAGCTGAATATGCAGCCGAAATCTCACTCAGTTCATATAAGACGAACAGTCCATTTGTTCATGATATCCAAGAAATTTTGTAATCTGGATGTAAATAATAACCGCATTTCTCAACAATGATGTAGTATAACTCGAGGGCTTCATCCAACCTACTTATGAAACTGCTATCGGTGTAAAACCTTCATTGAATTTTTGTGGTTGGTGATTTGGACTTATTTACCTATCATATAGCCAGTTGGTCGACGATCAAAAAGAAAATTCAGTAGTGTCTGTCTACAGAGATTCTTAAGTAAGTCATTGCTGTTTTACGATTATTATTATCTGTCCAAATTATATCTGCATGAGTGAATGAATGAGTATAATAACTTATGTGTCGGTAAATAATCCCTTAAAATCAATAGCCTGGGGTTCGAAGAAATTCAAAATTGATGCTGACATTCATAGTTTTAACGAATTCACTAAGCTGCAGACACACGGTCAAGCATCCGGCCATTTGATACGTTGTCGTGCTACGCTACGTTCACTATTCTCTAGCCAGTTGCTGTATTGTGTTCTTCTTTGATCTCGCACTCGTGGGTACATAACAAGTACGCATAATTTGCGACTAACATTTGTGTCTGTTAAGTTAGCGTATGGCGGATTTATATATATATATATATCCTGTAATAATAAGTTTCCGTGACAAAATCATTGTCCTTATATCATAATACTTGTTTCACTCACCTCATCTTGTAGCTCTCTGCAAATCCAACCCACACAAAAAGAATTTAAAAACTAGTCTGGGGCAGAAGGTGTACCATAAGTTACATTTTCCATGACAGTCGAGAAACAACCGGATATAATGTACAGCAAACTCACTGAAAAACCGGGTGTTTCGCCTATGACATACATAAGCAACAGAAGGGCCAACTCACTCATTTTGTTGGACGTTGATATGTCCCGAAGACTCATATTTGGTTAAGAGAGGACAGTTCGACAGTCAAACGTGAGTAAAGAACTGTCAGATACTGGGACCGTATCCTCTTCACCTTTCAACAAGCAGCCGAGCACAAGCCTCCACCTGTACAAATATCTTTGAATGCAACGGAAGAGGTCGAGGATATCCTTCTTCCCTGACACCCGCGAAATCCTGTCCAAGCCTGACAAACCATGGTCACTGAGAGAGGAGGAAGGAAAATCTGCACTCAGAAACCTTAAATGAAACACCTCGACGGCTTTTTGTGGAATATCAGGCTTGCCGAGCGGCCATTGTGCAAAAGACCGCTACCTCAACGATATCCAACAATGATTGTGGACGTCAAGTAAGGCTCACCTTGACAATGTGCCAAGGAAAAGCTTCAACAGATGGCCGAAACCAATACATCTGAAGTCTATCCCTTCTCCTAGACTACTCGACATCCAGTTCGATTCATATGCCTTAGTATGATGTGAGAATCCACCTAGGCGGCTCAGTGTGCGTGTGTGAGGGCAAGCCAGGGCCCACCTGGTAAGAGGAGGGACGACAACAACCAGGACCTCTCAAGTTGATGATTGTCATGCAAACACCAATTGGTGAGCCGGGTGCGTCGCGCATCTAGGCTTCTGTTACTACAATCCCCCCTGTAGGCTGAAAGTGAAGCGTCAAGAAGCGGGGCAATGCTGGTTTTGTGAGGACTGGCGATCTGAGGTCAAACTACATATGCGCCCCCCTCACGAAAATATGCAACCAGTCCCTTCTTCCCATTCAGCACATCCTAACACACATGGTCAATCATGGTCAAAAACCAAATCACCCGCAAAGTAGTTGATCATATCACAATCCTAGCGGATACGTACTAAGCAGTCCAGAGACAGCTAAGCTTCTGAGCTCACACTGTGAGGCACGCTCGAGTACTTCTGTAACCAAATCTACACCTGTCTAAAATAACACTGATGAGACTGACCGGAGTGAGCACCCTCGTTAGATCCCTATCCCACGGAAAAAAACATAAAGAGAACTGTCCGGGCTGTGCTCAGGCAAGTCCACTGGCTGTGATTACCTGAGACTGCTGGTCTTACAGACCTGCTATGGGGCACTCTAGAAGCACTCGCTAGAGTAAAGCAGACTCCTTAAAGAATGGGGTTGCTCAATTGTGTCACACATTTTTAAGGAAGGGAGCCAGGAAAGCCCTTGCAGCTGCAAATGAGTTTTCTACTGTTCACATTCTCGAAGGTTCCGGAAAGCCCAACATCAGACGACATCCGGGAATTCTCTGACGGGAAAAACGCCGTTCACACTGATCAACACGGCTTTCGGAGTGGTCCTTCAGGTGCCACTAACTTGCTGGCCCCCTCGGACAACTGAACCTTTAGCTAGTGAAACTGGAAAGCATCTCACTCAACTCTCTTTGATTTGGTGAACCAACTGGCAGTGTCTCGTATGCCAGTCATCCTACTTCACGAGGTCGCGTCAGCAGGTGTAGCCGAACCCCTGCTTCGTTAGTTCAAAGCCTGCCTAGGCGAGACAGGCAGCTTTGGACCAGGGTAAAGAAAATACAGATGGGCTGGATATCCTCGACATCGAAGGTACCCCATGGAGAGGTCTTGAGACCATTTACGTTCCGCCTGTTCATTGTCTATTTGTCGCATAGAATTTCCTCACCTATCTTCCGTTTCGCTTACAGCATAAAAACTTGGAAGAGGGTGACTGTTGGACACTCCAAAACTACCTGTAACTTCAACCTGGAAAAGTGCAAAGTAATAATTTTCAGGACTGACGAAGCAGCGGCGGCCGAATTCGAAACAAGTTAAGTAACTGTGCCATCACCAAACTGTGCACAGGAATATCTGAGTCTCAACTTTTTGATATCTTATTCACCTTCTGCAGTTATAAAGGAATGGCGACCAGAGTGGACCTTGCACTTACTGCGTAGACAGCTCTACACCCTCACTCTTTAACTGCTTTGAAAGTTTGACATCCTAATAAGCCTGCATCCTGAAGTCCTCAATACAGCGGCGACCTTAACACCTAAAAGGAACTCCAATCACCCCGAGAAAATAAAAACATCCGCAACAAAATCAGTTGTGGAACTGAGGAGGGAAACATACTCCATACCACCACGCTTATTTACTACCCCGTCAGTAGACTGTCTCTAAGGTGGCTTAAACATTCATGTTAGTTCGAATGGATCGCCGCTTAGGCATTTAGGGAACTGCTGACCTCATAAGCTGAATACTGCTTTCTTACTATTTGCTGCTTACCATAGGTCTGCTTCGATTTCACCCATTTGTTTTCCAAATCCTCCTTAGTAAATAGGCTCATGGCACCCCTCAGAAGCGCCCCATATGCCGTTTTCCACCGTCCTAGCATTGCGGTTCGGGTACCTATGAAGACAAGCGACGCTAAGAACTCCCTAATCTTCCCAGTAATCAGCAGCATACAAGCCAACCAAACTTAGATGTCGCAGGTACCAACCCAGAAATATTGTTTATCGCGCTGGAGCTAAAAGTGGGAAGACACAGGAGGCTTTTCTGTTAGCCGAAAAATTCCAAGCTCCAGGTGCTTGGCGTGTGAGATCAAAACTACTCGTTTCCTACACTTAGACGGATGAACCAATGGATCTGTGTCAAAGAGTTTTATTTCATCACCTCAAACTTAGTTCTTCCTAGCCAGACTGAATCTTTACTGGACTAGGATAACAAGGGATCTTACGAGTGCATTTTCCGTGCTCTCACTCATGTATCCACGGCAAAAAAATTTGGGCTCAACTTCTGAGACACCCTGAACGCCAGCTCTAACTACAAAGACATAGATGCCAGAGTGAACGACACTCTGAACTTTCTCCTTAGACAGCTTGGTGATCTCATCCATGAACTTTTCTTCGGTATTCAAATCGCACGTACGGCATCATCTAGAGGTTTTGAGTAAGGCAGTATCTCCCACCAGTAAAAGGGGATTCAATCTCCCTGAAAAACATGGAGACCAGCAGCAAAAACAGTTGTGAGACTGAGAGGGGAGGCGTTCTCTGAAAGAATTAATCAACTAAATTGCAGAAAAAAAGGGGAACTTGTCATGGCCCGGGCCCACCAGGCAACTCGCGCAAACAAACTAGCCTTGCCTGCAACACGGCGGTCATTACAAGGAAACCCAGTAAGGAAAGCACATTAGAGAGCTGCAAGAGGCTCAGGTCTAGCTGCTTCTCCTTAGTAGTATATGCTTTATAGAATGCCTTACCGTGGACGTAGTCACTGTCCTCTCTGTGGACCCATTCAGAAGACGGTTAGACATTCATGTCATTTTGCATGAGTTACCACAGACATATTCGTGGAGCTACTTACCTCACTAACCTGCTATTACTCCTTTTCTATTCACCACTCACTGTCTGTCTTGCTGATAGACCCAAATTATATACAAAGTCTTCTTTAGTAACTAGATACGTGCTATCTATTTTTACCTTTTGGGCACTCCCCACACACTTTTTCCCACTGTCTTGCGATTTCTGTTCAGGCGGCTACACATACAGGCGTCATAGTAGACTCATAAACTTCCCAACGACCTGCAGCCCCCTAATCGCTCTACAAATTTCAATTTACTAGCCCACGAGAACATTGGATTCCCTTTACCAGAGCTGAAAGTGAGAAAGCAGAAGAGATTTCCTCCTCCACCGCATTAGCAAACTGAAGAATATGAACCAACGCCCAAGAAACAGGGGTGAGAGAACAAAAACAATCAGTTTCTAACGCTTCCACTAGTTATGTTGGATGTTAGATGCCGCGGCACATGCAAGACTAACGCTACCGATACATGTGTTTCTGGCCATAATCGCTAACGTTGTATCATCTAATCAAACAGTGGTACGGATATAATTGCTATTGTCGCTTACTTTCCATTTTTGAGATTTAATTTTCTCTGAAAGCTATTCACTCTTGTCTAGTAATCTAATATGGCTACTTATTATGATGTATGTAAGAAGATACTAGTTAGATTTTACTTGTCAAACTATTTTTCCCTCAGAAAAGCACGGAAATGTTAATTAAACCTGGCGTATTTATTTACATGGCTCTGAGGATTATTCGTGGCTGGATTACATACAGCGTTCGTATGCTTTGACAAAATTCCTCCCCGCCTAGCACATTTTTTGTGTCTGATATCATCCTTAATTTTATGGAGATAATTCACTCTCAGATAACCGGATTACTCTGAACAGCAGCAATATACCTGACTGTTGCTAGACTTACAAGATCATGTTGGAATCACTGCAATCCAGTTTATATTATTGACACTACTATTACAATAATTCTCTGTACCAGATAATGAGTTACCCATTCTAGACTTCACTGCTCTCATTGTGCTTTGTGTATTGCATTGTGAACTGCAACAAATGATCACTAAAATATAGGTTGACTTTATGGCTACTTTATTTTTGAAAGAACATCTACTTAGCAGTGCAGTCAAAGTAAAAGGATCTATATCAAGTGTACCAGTCAAAACAATTCAGTAAAATCCTAACTATGCAATCAGTTTCGACAAATCTCTTTTATGGTTCATTTGTGTCATGAAAGTAAGTAGATAGAAGTTGTCGTAGAATGTTACTAAATGTGATACAATGTTTTATAGTTCCTGATGTGGTTATCGTTTACTTATAGTTATTCCATTTTAATTGTTATGGTTTGTACATTATCGCCATTAATCTCGTTTCAAACAGTTTCCAGCCATTCAGCCGAACGCCTACACTAACCCTACTTTTTATACTGTTTCATGTTAAAGTAACGTCTATTGACATAAATTGAGGTTATGTGTATCTTTACATATCACTATAGAATCTACAGGTGTCGTTGCTACTTAAAATATATAGTTCTTACTATGCACATGAATTCCTCTTCTATAAACTAGGTAATAAGCTGTTAGGTGCTACTGCTATTTTTTAAATTTACAACGCTGGTACTTATTGTTTTGTTTACTAGTGTGACGGTGGTTTACAGATATTCGTTTCTTCTTCACTTCTTCTGTAGACTCAAGTCAAGGCCCAGTTAAAATTCTATATCTAGAGGGGAGAAATATGGGTCGTCGTAGACCAGCAACACAGTGTAGACAACATTTTAATTCTGAAATGAAGCAAAATGATCTGTTTGAGAAGTATTACAAGGATCAAGGGATCGTTCCTGAGAGTGAATGGGGAGTTTTCACTAGTTATTTACAAAGAGACCTCCCCATTACGTTTCGTGTCACAGGGTTTCGAAATCAAAACAAAGAGTTGCTACGACTTATTAAGCAAAAATATCGTAAAGATATATCCGAGATGCAGCAGTCCATGAGTGTGGAAAATGAAAACACCGGTACTTTTGATCCACTACTCTGGTATCCAAATGAGATGGCATGGCAGTTGGGTGTCAGTAAGTATGCAGTTCGGAAAACGGAAGAACTCCGAACTTTGCAACAGTTTCTAGTTTCTGAGACGGAGTCGGGTAAGCTAAGTATTCACTTGTCTTTTGTCTAGTTTCGCATCTAGTATTTTTTTACTTGGTCTTCGAGTATGACATTCTTTAAGACCGTTGTTAATCTCCTATATATTTAAGTAGTTCATTTTAGTTCGGTACACTAATCCTTCATTTGATTAGTAACTGATATTAGTAGCCATAAAATTTCAGCTGAACTGGCTTTGTTCACTGAAATTCTTATTCCCTAAATATACTTTCATCTGTTATTGCACTCAAAATGAGATTTTTGAAGTATAACTGGCATCTATGTTCTTGTTTCATGGCAAACTTTCCATAACGTAATAAATTCTTTCAGTACACTTATGTGGCAACTCATTCTCGAGTGTTCAAACTGTTCTGAAGACTCTTTCTGATTCTCATCATATTGTAAATGTTAAGCACCATGACGTGTTGCACTTTTGGTCCTACTTTCTGAATGAAAGTAATTGTCATGATCATTTAATAGTACAGTGGAGTACTTGTCTTATTTGTCAGATAATAGTATTCAGTGTATGGAATTGTTTATTCTACTTGTTTGTATTGAAAGATGTTACTCAAAATGATTTGGCAAATGAAGATTTTAAATCCCTTTTTGCTGGATGTTCACGTCAGCTGAACAACCATCGAAAACCTGTAAGCTTTGGGTAACTGTTTTCATCCCAGTCGGCACGCCATAAGAGATCGGATCCAAATCCTTTACGTTCGGTGACGCGCATGTTGCCATCGAGCTACCGAAGTCGGCAAATTCCTATAAAAACCCCTAGTTGAATTACAATCTAATTCTCATCAACAGTATACTTCAAGATAGATTTCCTGAATTTCTTATAGAAAGCCGTAACCTGTGGGTTGAATCAAGTTAGGAATGAGAGTAAATGCCTAACGATTACATGAAATAACGGTGATATCATATTTCAGATTGGTAGGTTAGGAAAAGTCGACTATAGGATCTAAATTTAGTGGCTGGATAATAACGTGTTCACCAACAGAGCTGTTGATATTGGACTTATCCTCGAATAGGGTTAGGGATATGCATTTATGTGAGGTCCCAAACTGTGACAAAACTTTCCAGTGCTCTCAAGTCTCCAATGGCTCTCTGTCGAATATCGGCTTGTAACGAAAACTACTTTGAAGTTAAATAATCCTGACAAAACTGTCAGTTGAAGTATGGATATGGTTACCATAACGACTTATTTTCTACTTAAAACCTGAAATAATAACTGTTTGCACCTCTTAAACTAACCAATATTCTTTCCGGTGATTTCTGAGAATCAACAAGTCTCGAAAGATTATGAATCTTAAACTATCGGAATCATCAGTATCAACATGGGACCCAGGCATTACTGCATAACGGTCCAAGTTGCATCACCACCTATCAGGAGATCGAATGAGGATGCATCAAGATGAAAGATAAAGAAATAGAAAAGAATCGGTCAAAAGCATCAAAAGCGAGGAAGAGGGAATATGAAAACATTGAATTCAGTATGACTGCTAATATGGAGATAACGTGTGGAAACATCTGCACCACTAACTTCGATTCTGAACCATTTCATCTATAATCTGAAACAACTAGTTTCTGTTGTCATACTGACCCCAAGTGGGAACTCTACATTCCCCTACACGGCTCAGGTATGCACTGATGCCATGTTTTATTTTGATCGCCTCTAACCTTTTCCCGAACTGAATCTACTTCAGCTAACAGTGCGTGACGAAGCAGACGATGACCAGGTATGTGTAACATATTCCAACCATCTGAGTCAATGAATGATTATAACCTCATCAAATGATTTTACTTTCCTCCCTAAAACTCTACAACTCACTTATATTTTAATGAAGTGGTGACACCACGACGCACTGATAAAAACCCAGGGGCCACTAAACATTCGTTTCCTTCTTCTTTAGCACTCTGAAGCACTCTACTATCATCACCATTCCTTGGGTCAGTTTCAGATCTATCGAGTTTTGTGGAAGTCATACTCCTGCAAAACGAGGATGTGCACCATGATATTCCACAACCATTACCTCACATTCATTCTTACCATAAAATGTTGCTAACAAATTATTGAACTGTTAAAACACTGAATGAAACTGTAACTTATTGGTCTAGGTAGTCGATTTTCCACTAGTGGATTGCATTTTCAAACCCACCCTCATCTACAAAGGTTCAGGGAGTCATAAGCCACTGAACAGAAGGTGAAGCTAATTGCTTACTACTCTGGAAATGCAAATTTACGTGGTTTTACACTATTTAAGAAACATATATTTGAGTTTACAATCTGGGCAAAATCTACTTGGACACTTGGTAAATATCACGAATTTATTATATTGTGTATTCACCATGTACGTAAGAGCAAGCAAATTAAAGCATACTAAAGGATGAGTATGGGACTTGTCGATCACCTGTAGATTTGTACATAAAACTACATCTGTTTTGCAAATGCCAGTAATACTATATGACAGTCGAAACTGGCAGCCTTGATGCCACCGCATGATTTCGATTAGAGAGCCTTGGGCAGCGTTGCATGCTTGTTCGGCATTTCGTTCACACTTTGACATTACCAAAGTCTCTCAGTAAATAGTCAAGTCTCGCCTTCACAACAAGAAATAGAACGTGTCGGGGTTCAGTGAGTATGCCTCTATTCATGAGCCTGTCAAAGGGTGAAAATTTGATCGATGCACTAGAATGATCGGCAACGTATACTCGTCCAGTGGGACTAATTCGATTTCCACACACTACCTATTTTCATCGTTGTTGTGCTGAGTCACCTTTTACCTCCACTCTTAAAGCCTTCAGGTGGCAAACCATCTGATCCTGCTGTTTTACATCGTTTGAGTCTCCTGAACTTGGAAGATAATTGAGGGGCTGACATGTATGCTGTACTCAGGTTGACGGTGGATGTTGGACCATTGAAGCGTAGTTATTCTTCAGAGTGTTCTACCCAACATCATATCCGCCTGTCATGAGAAGTCATCAGACACTGATTCTTTTTCAGTGATGATCTTTCTGAAGATGGTTTTATTCTTGCAACTTTGCGTAGTGTATTTGAATAACTACCGAATATTATCTAATGCTGACATCTTATGTGTCTCTTTTGCTTTCGGCACTCAACACTGTTCACAGTGACTGCCAATACTATTAGTTAATTTATGTTGCATTTACTTTGTCTGTTAATGGTCTTCACAGTCGGGTTGAATGAATCTTCTAGCACCAATCAATCAGTTTAGATGAGGTTGTGAGATTTATAGTTTGGTTTTTGCTGACCTTTGTTTTTATGTTAGGAGCTGTTGTTAACAGTGTTTTAGAGTAGACTGAATATTATTTTAGGTTTCATGAATAAGAGTTTTGGTTCTATGTTCAGATAAATGTTTTGCTATTTTATCTGTAAACACACATGGTTGACGTCCTTATATTTCAGTGGGGGACTGAGGCGTAAATGTTCCTTGCGCCCATTCAGCAGAAAATCTGCATATACCCGTATTCCATTTTAACAGCTGGTAATAGCATATACTGGGGATCGTGGACAGTGTTTTCTAAAATATATCATTTTGGAATGCTACCTTGTCGTATTTTCACTCCTTAGCTTACATGCAATTCCAAACGAATAGTGCTGTAGAAATCACTACGGGTTTTTCTGGAGATTAGTCTTGTTAGTATTTTAATATGATAGATCTGACAAAATTCATTCCTTTTACTGTTCCTTGTGGTGTGTGCTTAGTCGAATTTCTTTGTAATCACTATTTTGTTTATTTGTTATATGAAACACAGTTTACTTTTTGGGTTGACACACCATGCGTGCCAAGAAATGTGCTAAGTGACATGTCCCTGCTTTTATTCCAATTCTCCTTTGCTATTTTTCTAACCACTTTTTAGGTAACATTAGTCGTCAAGAGGCTGTAAGTATGCTACCTCCTCTTCTTTTGGATGTGCGCTCACATCACACTGTCCTTGACTTATGTGCTGCTCCCGGTTCTAAATCTGCTCAACTCGTTGAGTTATTGCACTCTGATGCGGAATCCAGCTTACTAAAAGGGGGACCAGAGAATGCCCTCCAGTATGTCGAACCTACAGGAATGATTATTGCAAATGATTTCGATCAGAAAAGATGCTATATGATGGTTCATCAGGTAAAGCGTTTACAAAGCCCTTGCGTTGTAATTACTCAGCAAGATGCAACGTCCTTCCCACGTCTTTATCTAACACTGATGTCTGATGAGAAGGTTTGTTTACTTACTGTCATTGTGTTTATTACTACTATTGATTGGTGTATATATGCTGAGTTTTCTTTTATTGAACGGTTCAGTAATGTCTGAAAAGAGTTGTGGGGTGCGCCTTTGTTTCGTTGCTACTTTCTTGCACACCCAGTAACTGCATTTAGGAAGAACCGAAAGGTGAGTTCTACCTAAACTGTTCAGCATCCCAACACCCAATTTCCAGATGTATTGATATCATCTGTCTATCTGTCTCTGCAGACGTGGTTGTAGTGGGTAACTTCAATGGACAATTAAAAAGGCTAAATTAGGAAGAAAGTCACTAGGGTGATAGTCCCGTAATCCGTGTCAAATGAACAAATAGTGATGATTACCTGCCAAAATTATGCTTAGACAACCACCTACTTATTTTTACTCAGCACGAGTTTCGGAAATAAAGAAACGTTGTCTAGTATGGCGTCTACTGATCGCAACTCGATGGTGGACATAAATAATGTTTCCAGTTGTCACAGTAGACGGTCAGCTAAAGATTTCGACTTCTTCCTAAGCAAATCGTAATCTTACGTTAGTTCAAGCACACTTGTATCTGTATCCTGGTGAATGTCGAGAAACTACGACTGGGATGCCGACTCAAGTCCAGTTCGTCGATGAAGGTGTTAATCTTATTTTCGATGACGTACTGGTGAGGTGGTTTTCGTAACAGGAGAGTACCACTTGTTCCGGAGAAATTTAGCGTCGTCTTCACTGTGTTATAGAAACAGCGTTAAACATTGTGACGGACACAGAAAAAGATTAGGAAGGATTAGTGTATCTCAGCAACTTCTAAATCAACGGATGTGCGTGGATGTATTCATAAAGGCTCCAAGCTCCGTGAGGATTAAAAGCAACTCAAATGCAAACTAAAAAAATATCCACGCAGTTACTCTGAGCAGTAGTGGAGAGCAAAGACAAGAGATGGAGAGGGCAGCGATGACAGGCGGTAGTAGTCAGCTTTCTAGAATTGTAAGTGAGGTAAGAATGTCGATGGTTAGTGAGACGAATGCAGTAGAATGTTTTCACGAATAACTCGTAGGACGGTGCATTAAAAGGAACAGTTTGACTAGATTCCAACTATTTTTCAGTGGCCAAACGTCACTGACCAGACTGATTGAAGTTTTATCTGCAGTTTGGAAATCAGATAGTATCTCTTACGACTGGTCACAATCACTGGTTTTCCCATTCTTTAAATAAGGAAAAACACGTGGTAGATACGGAAAAATCAATCTAATGAACAGTATGTATGATTGTAGGTTTTCTAATCCTAAGACATCTAAGCGAACCCGAGGGAATCGGGCAGGTTTCAAACTTGACCTTGGATGTATCAACCAGGTCTTCATTCTTCACCGGGTCTTGGAACACAAGTACACTTACCGTTACCCTACGAAGGCTTTTTTTCTTAAGCTGTAAGTGGTATTCTACTCTATCGATCAAGAGGTTTCAGGACAGTGTCGATCACCAGTAGGAATTGCTTATTAGTACTGAAGGCTTCATGTCCGACTATCTGTAGTTATGTTACAGCCTACAACGAAATATCTTGTGAGCTTTCCACATCGATTTGTGTTTTTTAAAGATTTCCACTCTATTTTTTGTCTAAGTCAATCACAGACATGCTTCTGGAGGTCTGCTTTTCGTCTGGCTTAAAACTGATTGGTCTCAACGTGTAAGGCTCCTTTATTGACTTGAAGTACTCAGATGACGTAGTGTGGTTTGGCAAAATCTGACCGATAGCTGCTACCTTGACTTAGTGGTCGAGCTTGCATAGCACAATGATCGGACAGGCAACAATGTTTGGAACACTTGTTCGTAGGTGTCCTACTGCGGCAGATAAATCTGTAGAGTAGTGATCAAACAAAACGGTTACTGTCGTGTGAATTGCTACACTTTATGATGAAGGTCCGAGGGCAAAGTCGTACTGCTGGTTGGGCGGGTTATGACGTCTTTTAAAACCTAGACAATTTCGCTAAACTTAATTTTCAAATTTCTTTTCCTCCCATATACCTTTGTTTAACTAGATATCAGACTTTTTCTACCCACTTGTACTTTGCGTGTTACGGTTAAGTGTGGCTTCTGTGTGAGGTGCTACGTTGATACCTTTCGTCTCTCTGCTAAGCAAAGATGCTGAAAAGGTTCAGTCTTCTAAATATTTTGAGTGACTGAAGAATATTTAAGATGCGCTGCTCACTATCTAGATATTAATTGTTGTTTCAAGAATAGTCTATGTTCATACATTGTGTGACAATATAAATGAAATGGTTGAACGTGTTAACCACTTTACTTTGAAAGATGGTTAGGCCCTGCTGGGGCTGTGTGACCAGTGCGATATTGGCTCAGTTACAAAAGACTCGATTTGCTTTCGCCAACTTCAACCACCTATGGTGCAAGCAAGATATTCGGTTGCGTAACAGGTACTGATCAGAAGTTTATTCTGTCCTTCTGTATGTCAGTGAAACAATGCTGGTAAATTTGGAGGATTTGAGAACGAACGTGTGTTACATAAGCCCATACGCGATGCAATATGAAGTAAGATTAAGCTGGAGAAAGGTGAGACGTGACCATAATAAAGCGCACCATCGTTTTATGAGGTTTCTAGCTGTTAGTCTGGGCCGTATTAAGAAATGAAAACCTTTGGTTTGGGTTCTATCTGATAACCGAAATCAGTAATCAGAGACTCTGATATATGGTGCACGTCCGATCACAGATGCATTTCTAAGTAGTCATTCTAATTGCCAAATCACATTTCTTTATTTGTTTCACTCCGTTTTTTCTTCTTATGGATTTCCATGACTTCTGAACGCTTCTTTTTCTGTTTCCGTGCTTTTCGTCTTCCTGACTTGTATTTTGTGTACTGATATAAGGTATTACCAAGTCTATCGACATTGACTGACTAACTGCTTATTTCAAAAAGTAGTATCAACCAGTAAATGAGTTTAGAAAACACATATTTTTTAAAATCTCTGTAGGTTATTGAAGTTTTGGATAAATCAGTTAGCAGTTACACTCAAAAAGGTCTTTGAGTCCTGAGTTTGAGAAGTGTATCCAGATAATAGAGGAATTCAGTTGATGACATGTGCATCACTTTGAAACCTATATGGTAATTTCAAATGGTATGTTTTACAGAAATACATCTTTTCAGATTGAATCTAAGGATACTAGCTGCAACTAAACGATGTCTTTCTGAACGTTAACCCGTTTCACCATTTGTTTGAAGAGAGTCTATAGGTAGCAATCATCTTACCTTTCGTATTTGTTCGCACAGTTCTTACACATTTTAGTCGAATTCTAAGTTACTGACACTTTCATTGTGACATGTCTATCGATTTCTCATGCATAGTTTTTGAAAGAGATTTTTGAAGTAAATTTTTGAATATTGTCTCCAAAGTTATCTTATTTCGAAGGTGGTAAGAAACTTTTCATGATTATCACGTAAACACTATCAGATTGGTTCCAATTTTCGTTTAATTTTTGCACGCTACTTATCATTTACTTTTTACTCCGTGTGTGTAAGATGTTCAGTGTACTGTATTCATCGTCATCATCACCAAGATCAACATGGGACCAGGCATTACTGCGTAACGTTCCAAGTTGCCACACCTTATATCAGTACATCAAGTAACTAGTCAAAAAAATGGAAGATGAGGAAGGAAAGAAAAATCGGTCAAAGGAAGAAAGATGATGGGATTTAGTATGGCGGTTAATATAAGAACAGTATATGTATGCATCTGCACCAATGACATCGATTCTGAGCCATATCACCTAGAGTCTCCAACCACTGATTTCTCTTGTCCGGTGGGCCCCAACCAGCTAATCTGCATCACTCTATATGGCTCAAATGAACAGCCAAGGACTTAATGTATTGATACCATGTTCGAGTCTTTCCACCCTGAGTCTTTTTCATCCTGAACCTACTCTGGCCGACATTTTGTGATGAGGCAGATGGTGGTTATGCTTGTGTAACACATGTCCCAGCCATCTGAGTCGATGAAGGTTCACAACCGCATCAACTGTCATACTTTTCCTGCCTACAACTCTACGTCTGACTTCTGCATTACTCGTGTGGTGATGCTATGAAACATGGTCTATGCTACGAAGGCACCGGTGGTTAAACACCTGAAGCCTTCTCATGTTTTCTACCTTGTATGCCCATGTTTCAATACCATACAGTAGAACAGAGCGGACTGCAGCACAGTACACTCGACCCTTAACAGACCCTTCATAGACCATTTTGTTGTGTATTACGCATACTTGTCTTGATTTTCCACTATGCTAGTTATGGATCACAAATCTACTCAGTGCATATTTTCAATTAAGTGAATGCGTATTACGAAAATAATTTTTTCCAGACTCTCACTGACGTAAAATGAATTTAACTTCTGTTATGAACATTTCTATTGAATCATCAATTCATAAGGTTACTGAGTGTATTTCCTTCTGTCGATCAGCACACCATCTTGAAGTATTTTCGTCATTCTTCTTCTGTCTGAAATGTGTTGAAACATAACTTTTTACTTAAAAGCATTTATAGTTCTATACATCACTATTAGTAATTATACTTTAGTATGTGTTCGTGAACACTTGAACTATTTTGATTTTAGACTGATCAAGGAGATCTACATCAATTATTATTTGATCGTATACTAGCAGATGTACCGTGTAGTGGCGATGGGACACTTCGTAAAAATCCTGATCTGTGGTTACGGTGGTCTCCCAATCTGGGTATTGGTGAACATCCGTTACAATGCAGAATTTTAAAGAGGGGTTTGGAGCTGTTACGTGACCCAGTTGGAGGTTCTACAGACTATTCACGACTTGTGTACTCTACCTGTAGTTTTAATCCAGTGGAAAATGAGGCTGTTGTGGCTAGCATACTACATGCTTGCCAGGGAACAGTTCGTTTAGTTGAGCCAGATCTTCTAGAATGCGTATCACTGAATTCCGATGAAAACAAAGGTTCTGATGTGCGAAAATTTAAGGCAAGACCTGGATTGACCAGTTGGCGTGTGATGGACAAGAAAGGAGTTTGGTTCACATCCTATGAGGAAGTTCCTACAGGGTATATTACAATTATATGGTGTATTTTATTTATTGTATGTCTCATTGGTTTATAGAAAGTTTCTTTTTGTATAATTTTTGTGCTGGTCACTGTTTTTCATTACTTGATTTCTTTACCTTCTACATGAATTTTAATGTAAATATCTATAGATGTTTGACGACCAGGTAAGCGATGTTTGTAAGTTGTATCTATGCGCACAGTTAGGCACTCAATTTAACTATCACTAAAGCCTGTAAGCAACAACAGTTTATCAATTATCTCAAAAATACATTACTGTGTAGTGCTCATTAGTGACTTGCTTCCAGATGGATATCACGAAGCTCTAATGAGAAGCCGTGACCTGTAGGGTTAACCAGTTGGAAGTGAAGTGGAGTGGATGCTAACTGAAGACCTTGGGTGATAGTCGCGCTATGTGGACTACCGTTGACCTACCCAGTTGCTGAATGGCTAACGCGTTCGCCGGGAAACGTGAAGGTCCTGAGTTCGGTCCCTAGGTGGGTAGTGGGTGCGTACTGCCGAGGAGTTCTACACCAGGCCGAAACAGCTGTCCAGTGCCCCTGTATTCTCATTGGTTCCCCAACTGTTCTCAGTCTATGATGAATACTACTTCCAAGTTATTTTTCAATTATTATCATACTTATATTGTGCACAACTGATGATGTTTTCCTATCTCATTCTTCATCACCGCCTACGAAATCTTTTAGAAGTATCTTCTGAAGAATTGGAAATTGAAAGCGAATGTAGCTTGAATGCTGTTATCATTCTAATACCTGAAGTCTTTTTCAAATCTTACGTAACAGTTTGTTATACTTACTTGAGTTTTTTCTCTATACTACTAGTTGTTTGCAAGTAGTTAAAGTTTGACTTCGATATAAACTGGAATTGACTCAGCTTGTTTCAAACCAATATAAAGTCATTGAATGTAACCACACTCTGTTGCTTTTCACCACAGATAAATTTATTTCTAAGATTAGTTTTCGTAAAAATTGGAGAGCACAGTAGAAGAGAATTGCTCATAACCACAAATATCTCTCAGCACATGGACTTCAAAAACAAACATGTGTAAGGCACCTTAGTAACAATTTGTTTCAACTATTTAGCTTGCAGATAGTAGAAATGATTGAATAAAAAACAGTTAATGGTTTATTGAAAGAAATATAAGAAAGGATGAAGTGTTTGCGTTTATGTTAACTAATTTAGCTGTTATATTTATTGCATTCACAAATATCTGTTCTTAACAACCTCTCAATGTTTTGGGCGAAGACAAATGCGTTGAGTTCATCTAAAGCATAAGCTTGCTAACCCTAATCAATTGTTGTGTGCTTTTCTGCTCTGATTTGAGCAATATCATCATAATGACTCTGAAGTGCTTCTGTGCTGCATTTCCTTGTAGCCATGAGTTCGTATTTTCGATTTCAGTTGAGAATTTGAAACTAATTACATGTTTGACCTTGCTAACTCATTATTGTGCAATAATGCAATGTTTCAGTCAATTGCAAGCGACTATTATACATTTCAATGAGTGATGGTCCTGTTTGCTTATAAGATTCTCCCCTCTCCCATCTCATTTAATACAAATTAATAAATAGCACCAAATACAATACTGACCTACTATTGCTATCGGCAAATTTTACCTCTTCATACTACTTTTCCGTGCAGCTGTAATCATAGTTTCTCTTGTCATACTGGACCTTTCTTTTCTATTTCATAGCGTTTATAAAATAGAAAATTATACACACGGTAATTCAATTTTTCACTTCGATTGTAATTCAATGGTCCATCAACTTTGATTTCGTTGACTGTGTAACCTGTATTCGATGGATAGTGTCCACAACCCAATGTGTATGGTCTTACATTTAGTTTCTCTGGCTAATTTTGTTTTGTGATGATCTTATCCTTAGATATTATTTTCTCTCCATAGCTAGAGTATTTCTTATGCTAGGATTACCTAGTGGTGCATCGTCACTTCATGGAGTATTCACTTATAATTGTGTATAGACTTTCTATTAAAAAAAAACAACTTACTTATAATACATTAATATCTACTATTTTGTGTTTTACAATATAGTCAACAGAATCATCTACGTCCTTCTCTGTTTCCTCCAATTAATGTAACAGATCTTCATCTGGAACGTTGTAGGCGTGTTTTACCACATGATCAAAATACTGGTGGTTTTTTTATTGCTATCCTAGAGAAAATTGCACCATTACCTTGGATTAATACTTCAAAACGAGATATCCCTGTTAACGGCAACAAAATTAATCAAGCAGATACAGAATATGAAGAGAAAGATAGTGATTTAAGTGAGATTGGTATATGCAACAATTATATTTATATCACTTATTTTAATCTATACTTATAGTGTGTTGAATAGGTATTCATCTTGTATGAATGTTAGAAATTTATGAGAAATGAAAAGATAAGCATAACATAGTTTTTACTAGTTTCAGGTTGGTACTCATCATGAATTGACATCAGTTGGAGAAACATTGGGAACCTGAGAGCAATGAACACGTGTTTCGCCCTAGTACGGGATTCTTCAGCAGTGTGCACTATGATTCCGTTAGAGGTTGAACCCAAGATCTTTAGGTTCTGTGGCCTGCACCTCACCATTGGACCACTGGGTCGTAGTTCAGTGGTCTGTACTTCCTAGGACGAAGCAGCTGTCCAGTGCTCCCAGGTTTCCAATGTTTCTTCAAGTAATGTCAGTCCATGATGGATATCAACCTGAAATCAATAAATAAATCCTCACAAATCCTTAAATTGAAAAACTTTTATCAGTTGACGGGGCGTTAAATATAACTCACAAGTGGATAGAAAGTTTCCTAACATCCTTTTAGTATTGCATCAGCAGTGAAAAGCTGAAATATTAATGACAAGTATGTTGAAATATCTTAGTGTTCACAGATAGGGATAATATCGAGCATAAATTCCTTTTTTATTGGGAAATAAGGCAATGGACGAACTTCTAAAATGCCCATTAGGAATTGGTCTTATGTTATGTAATTGTAATAAACTAAAGGCCACATGCCAAGTAATTCACGATGCGAAGCTCAGTGATGCTTTTCAAGTGAAGACGGGAGTAAAACAAGGCTGTCTACTATCACCCATGATATTCCTGATTGTGGCGGACTGGATCATACAACAAACAGTGAGGAGCGGTGGGAAGACGGTGATACGCTGGACCGGGGAAAATATTCTAGAAGATTTGGATTTCGCCGATGATGATGATTTGTGTCTGATCTCACACAAACTCGAAGATCTACAGGTGAGAACTAGCAAGTGAACAGAAGAGGCGAGGTAGGGCAGCGGAGATCGGACACTATTCAAGTGAACGTAGAGAAGACAGAGGTGATGAAGATACCCAATCAACACCACCAACAGCAACAACAACAACAAGCTCCAATGACCATCAACGGGAGAGACTTAAAGACAGTAGCCTGTTTCACCTACGTCTATGTAGGCAGCATCGTTTCAAGTAGAGGTGGCGGCACAGGCACAGATGAGGACTAGGACGTCGAAGTCAGGATCGGAAACATAGGAAGACAGGCGTTGTTTAAGCTGAAAGCTGTGTGTAGATCTTCTGCACTCAGTACAAAGAACAAGACTTGGATTTTCAACGCTAATGTTAAGTCAGTGCTTCTATGTGATGGTTGAGAGACTTGGCGCGTTACGTAAAGGATTTCCAACAAACTACAGATACTCATCAACAACTGCCTACGCTGGCTAGTTACTGAAGCTCAGATGGTGAGAATAGTTAGAATAAGCAAGAAGGAACTGTGGCTGGCTGACTAGCTGGCGACGAACCAACGAGGCAAGAAGCTATCGCTGAACAAATATGCAGATGAAGAAAGGGGAGATGGATTGGACATGCACTGAGAAGAACATTCGGAGACATCACGCTCCAGGCCATGGCCTCCAGTGGAAGCCAGATGGGATGCGACGAGTTTGGCATCCGAGGCAAGGGTGACATGGAGGAGATTGTGCGAGGAAGAAATGAGAGCTTGTAGGCTGTCGTGGAGCCAGGTTGAAAAGACTGGAGAGAACGGAGTGGAATGGCTATGTGGTACTGAAGCCCTATGTTCCATTAGGAACCCAAGAAACAAATAATAATAATAATAATAATAATAATAATAATAATAATAATAATAATAATAATAAAAGGTGCAAGGTGATTGCCTGTATCCAATTACCAATGCATCTGCTACAATGCTTTTTTTTTGAATGAACTATGTTTTATGCTATATGGAAGTTATATTTAGTATCCTACATATCATCATAGAATACCTGACAAATTTAGAAATCGTCTTGCGGAAATCATCATTAGTTAGTAATATGAAGTGAACAGTTTTATAGAAAAACTATAGATGAAAATTCATTTTTGCCAGCAACATATTGTGTTTTGAATTAAGAAAAATTCGTAAAACGTATCGTAAAACACGATAATTTTATTTAAAATCCAAAATATATAAGATAGCAGAGGTTAGATAATAAGATGAATGTGATTATGGTAGGATTAAAAAAAGAAATGAGTGAATGAATATCAACTTCATTAGCAGAAATTCTATTCCCAATAGTAAAAATGTAAACCTTCTGCGATCAACAGCTTACTCCATTATCCAGTTACAGCTAAAGGAGATGGTTTCGACCGATATCCTATTGACTCACTCTGTCTATTTTACAAATATTAGGTAGACAACATCAGCATAAAGCCTCACAGAGAGGTATATCGCTTTAAGTTTCAACGATATACAGTTGCATGTCCCTATTTCACTGAAAAGAGGTTGTGGTGTATTGTGTAGAACTTTGAAGATTATCAGCAATAACACTAAGCCTATACCCGTTGCACAAGAATCGGCTATTGTGGCTCGGTGGTGTAGTGGATAACGCTCTCGCGTTTGAAACGATCGCCCCCGAGATCGAGTCCCAGTGGAAATAACATCACTCACTGGGAGGCGGATACATCCAGCTGATGGGTCCCAAATAGGTCGAAATGTACATCCTGGATTCCACTGCTAGCTACTGCCCATCATTACTATACATAAACAAAAGACAGGCAATATCGAGGCACCCGCACAGGAGCCCATATGCCAACAGAGACTGATTAATTCGATCCAGTCAACGACAGTGTAATACAAGCAATAACACTAGAACTGGTGATGTTCCTCTAAACCTTCTACTTGGAATTATTGTGAACAAATATCTTAACTCATGTAAATATTGGGTAGGAGTTGTTTTATCACTGAAAGCTCTCCACGTTTTGGTCCTAAGGGAAGACTATGACTTTTATGCACATACTAAATATAAAAAGTCTACAATTACTGTATTTAGCTCGCATCCTGTATGAGGGAGAAAGTATCAACAATCTACTAACTAATCAACTCTTGTTTTTGAAAGCAAACTAATTAAAGAGTACACAGTTTGATATTATTTACATATTATGAATCTAATTTCTAATATGATTGTCTATTGTCTAAGTTAACTGTACACTTGTAAAAAACTTGTTAAATGGGGTAAATATTCTTATCTTTTATACATATAATTTCTACTTATTTTATTATTTAAGCCTATACACTATTTCTGTCCAATTGATGCCATTTAGCATGCTGAGATTTCTGTAGAGTATTCCTGAAATATGTTTCAGAATAAAGCCATTAGTTTGATCTTTATCATTATTATTATTATCTTTTTTCACTTAGACTCGACACATGTAACTAAGAAGTCACGAATCTTTCATGAGAGCCCATTTACTTACATTGATGCTAGTACTGATTCTACTTGGTCAAAAATTCGAGATTATTATCAGATTAAAGATAAGATGAGTGATGATACTATGTCTTCTACATCATTGTTCTGTGCTAATAATCTACTCTCTCGTTCTGGTGTCGAAGGAAATCGTTGCCGTTTTCTATACTATACAAATAGTCTCATAAAGAATATGGTGTTGACAAATATGGATAGAGGTTTGTTCATAGTTTTCATGAAATTCTTTGTTTATTATTGTCTAACTATTAACTGCCTTTGCAATAAATTTTGAATACTTGAACATAAATATACTTTTAACCATTATGAATAAATGACATCAAAAATATGACTCATATGACTCCATATCTTAGGTTAGAGACCACTTCTCTTATGTTAGAGCTAATCATAATAAGTGTCTCCCCAAATGTTGATAGATGGAGCGTATAAAACTTAAGCAAGTGACCTAGTGACTGAAAGTTGGCTATCTAGACCAGTTTGTAACACCTATATCAATGTTGATAAAGTAAAGTGTATAGATCACGTGCAGTTTGTCATCGTCTCAGTAGAATACTAATGTATTCAGAGCATAAAAAGTACTGTGAATGCCATAAAGTTTGAATATCATATGAATATATTTCTACCGAAATGGTTAAAAAGTAGGGTCGTTACGTATCCAGTCAGTCATTATCAACATAGGACCTGATATTGCTACTTAGCAATTCAACTTGTATTAATATACTGAGCAACAAAGTGAAAAATAGACATAATATTATCAAGTCGTAAAAATCAGTAGGATTGTGAGAGAAAAGCGAAATCACGAATTAGTTAAGATGTAATTGCATCTGCACCACCACTATCCAATTAAAACACTATCATAAAAATTCTTCAACTAACTAATCAAGGCTACCAAGTGGTCATTACCTCTGAAGAAAATAGTTGTATTTAATTCTGGTTAATATCAACTAAGAGGTTTTGATTCAATAGGTTTGTGTTATTGTACTTGGATTATTGTTTTATACTAACTCATGATGAAAACTTGTTTTTTAAAATGAAAGACACATAGAATGAATGATATAACCCATTCATACTTAGAATTGCAATCTAAATGTTTTGGTCGTTGTATTTCTGATTAGGTTATTATCGAATAGCATGGTAGTTAAATCAGTTTAACGGTTGGCTGAAGTAGGTTCAGGCTGGAAAAAGGCTCGAGGTGGCCAGACTAAAACATGGCACCAATGTATGAAGTCTCTGACTGTTAGTGTGAGCCATGTAGGGGGGCGATGTAGACTAGGTGGTTGGGGTTCACGGGACAAGAGAAACCAGTGGTTGGAGACTAGGCGATATGGCGCAGATGTATACACACATTATCCTCGTCTTAACTATGCTATACCGAATCTCACCACTTTCTCATTCTTCGTTTCTCTCTTTTGGTACTTGATATTTCTTTTGACTGAGTTTTCTTTTGTTCATCTTGCACTTCACTGCCTTTTTACTTAATGTACTGATATGATGTGTTGCAACTCGGCACGTTACGCAGTAATGCCTAGTCCTAGGTTGATCTAGATGGATAATTGTAAACGTGTTCAATCATAGATGGGGAGTATATTTTAAGTGACAGTTTTACTAAGCCAATTGAACATTCATATACTTATTATTAAAGTCATATTTTTAAACAATTTAATTTTTTTATTTTGCCTAAATTATTCAGGATTAAAAATAGTCAATACAGGTGTTCGAATGTTTGCTTCAGTGGAGGATAAACAGTTTGAAGGATATCGAATACTTCAAGATGGTGTTGAAGTGATTGATGCCTATATTCCTTTATCAAGTGATCGTCGTATTCGTCTTACACCGAGTGAGTATTCTGATCTAGTGATACTGTTAGAGTATGAAATGCCATTATTTAGTCTTATGACTGAATCAACACGTCGTCAATGTGAAAATATATCACCTGGCCCAATTCTACTTGATTATACTCCTAATTCTGCCGACATAATTAATAATGTAAGTGTTGATTCACTGATTTTTTTTTGTGATTGATATTTTTCTGTACTATATCATGACAGAATTATCTTTCATTGATCGTTTAATTGAGAATGAAAGACGCTATGGAATCTAGAGTGTATTTTACCAAAACATCAGGTCAGAATCCCTAATCTCAGGAAACATTTTTGCAATTAACTACTCTTGTGTATCACTACCACTAAGAGATATTTAAGTAGTCAGTGTTTGGAGACTTCTCTGTGCCCACTTTTAGTACTATTGAGTATGTGTAGTAAAAAAAAAGATTGACTGTTCCTCTGAGACATGGATATAAACCTTCCTGAAGAAATACTACTAGTTTGAAAACACAATTCAATTGCTCTTGGTTATAATCTCCATTCGTTTAACATAAGGTCCGATAAACTACAATCCTAAGTCACAAAGCTGTGCATCTGTATCAGATCAAGTGTGAAGCGTTATTCTGTCCTAGTACTTATGAAAACTTCAAGTCGAAGTGTTGAGGGAGTGGTCTGTCAAGAGAGCCATCTTCGATCTGGACGCTTGAATAGTATAATAACCCTTTATGCAAACCATAAAATAGCTGTTCCATAGGGCAGTATCTGATCCGGCTATTCCATCACAGTTTTACACAAATCACTTCTTCGTACACGATAACAGCTTGCAGTACAGCTGCCTCCGATATACTATTTAGCGTCCACTCCTTTCCATGCAAGCCTAGACACAAGTAAATCTCAATATAATTAGCCACAGATGGTGTATATAGGGCTGTTGCCCTTACCGGAGCACTTATCTGGACTCTGATCACGTCGTAGTGTATGCTAAATTTATTTTGCATTCTGGTGGCCATCCGTTTGTCTACTAAGGGTCGCGCGTACTGCACAGCAGTCCGCTTTGTTCTACTGTGAAACATGGCCATTGAAAGTAAAAGATATAAGGGGGCTTTAAGTGTTTGACCTTCGTTGCCTTCGTAGTATAGGACGTATTCCATGGTGTCATCACGTCAGTAATGCAGAAGTTAGATGTATAGTTTTAGGGAGCAGAGGTAAATCAGTAGACGAGGTTATAAACCTTCATCGATTGAGATGGTTAAGACACGTACTACGTATGCCCAGTCACCTATTACCTCGTCACACAATGTTGGCCGAAGTAGGTCCAGGCTGGCGAAAGGCTCGAGGTGGCCAGACTAAAACATGGCACCAATGTATGAAGTCTCTGACTGTTGGTGTGAGCCATGTAGGGGGGCGATGTAGACTAGGTGGTTGGGGTCCACGGGACAAGAGAAACCAGTGGTTGGAGACTCTAGGCGATATGGCTCAGAACCGATGTCAGTGGCACGTATGTATACACACATTATCCTCGTCTTAACTATGCTATACCGAATCTCACCACTTTCTCATTCTTCGTTTCTCTCTTTTGGTACTTGATATTTCTTTTGACTGCATTCTCTTATCTTCATCTTGCGCCTCACTACCTTTCTACTTGATGTACTGATATGATGTGTTGCAACTCGGACCGTTACGCAGTAATGCCTGGTCCTATGTTGATATTGATTGATTGGTCATCGGAATCGTCGTCCTTAACGGGCCGATGCAAAAGAACCGGTTGCACCTATCATTGCAACTATATACCCAAGCCCCAATGGATTCAAGGCTAGCTACCAGAAGTTATAGATTAGCATTCAGTTCACCTACAAGACATTCTAAAAGTGGTGAAGAAGGCTGTTGTGGCTTTGAAGAACGTCTCTGCAAGTTCCTTCCAACTTCCTGACGATTGTTATCAAGAAGAGGTTACCTTCATCGCATAGCATCCTTCACATAATCGCGACAGCGATGACCCAGTGATTTCTGACTGACTTGATTGCCATACTTATAAATGTTCTCTAGTAATCCTTGTATTTCCTCTATCCAGTATTTCTATATTTTCCCAGTCAAATTCATGTGTACTTATGTTAGCGAAGATATGTCATGACACTTCATAACTAGTTAGTGTTCATGTAGACAGATAGAAGGAGGCTGACCAATCTGTTGAATATAGTGTTTTTCTCAGTTTCTGCAGATTATTTTGTAGATAACGTCTGACCTGTCTTCCTATGCTGTTTTGTCGTTCAACTGTATAACACAGAGTGAAGAGATTTTGTCAGCTTGTGAGTTATAACGATTCTGTAAGGCTTCAGTAATCTGATTGCAATCTCGAATACATTCTTCATGCAGAGTAAGACAATCTGTTTGTTGGTTTCCCAGGATGAATTTTTGTTTGATGGTGCAGTTGACAAATATCTTTTGATGAAGTCATGTGAATAACTGTTCTTCTGAAAGACAGTCAATAAATAGTTTTCTTCTTTTCTCTGTAAGGTTGATGCACTACAGTGTATCTTCGCACTTTTGAACAATGTCTTTATACAACTGAGTTTGCATGTTAGTGAATTGTTGTTGCCGTAGTTGGAGATTTGATTCATCTGGGTTGCTTTTCGGCATACTTCAGTTTCTAACTTTTTCGAAACCGTTCTAGGAATCAGAACATCTAAAAATGCAAGTTTTTGGCTTGATTCTTCTTCAATTGTAGATTTGATGTCGTTGGAAACGTTGTTGCTAAGTTTCTAAGCGTTTTTCAATTGTTTTGTTTTTATATGGAAAACGTGTCATCTACATATCGGACCCAAAGTTTTGGTCCGATCAACCGTAATACAACAATTTCTAATCTTTACATTACTGCTTCCTCAATTAGTCCTGGTTATAGGCAATCCCATTGTTGTTCCTTTCGTTTGTTTGGGAAGTTTGCTTATGAATTGACAATATGTTATAAGGCATAAGTCAACTAATCCTATCAAACTTGAATATCGTAGTTGTGCGTGTTTGAAGAGATATGTATCATGTAGAGGCATGTTTGGTTTGTGTATTTTAGGTCTACTATCGGAATATGGAAGAATAAGTCCATTGGATTTCATTCCCCATTGGTCTTGTTTTAAATTTGTCCCACTTTGATGAGCTTTTTTAAGGTCTTGATAATGTAAAAGTCAAAGTTTTGAATACAGTTTGTATCAGTTGGTTGATGTGCATCTCGATCTATGACCAAATCGTCTGCCTTTTTTTGACATAGTCGTCTTTATCCATGACTGCTGTTGTGCACCCTTTGTCAGCTGGATCCATAATGATATAAGTTTCATTTTTCAGTTTCTTAATGCCCCTCCAATCTTCGATGCTTAGTTGAGTATGGTTTTGCTTTCATATGGTCAAAGCAACGATTATTTGTCATGTTTTCCGTTGCGTTTCATTATTTTATCTTGATGTTCTCAGTTATGATTCAAGGGGGCGAAGAATTTCGCTCATACACTGTTTTGACGAGCTTAGTGCACAGCCATTCGCCTCTTCCTCTTCAGATGTTCGTGGTTTTGAAATACTAACTACTCTATCTCTGTAAACAATATGATTTAGTCTAAAATGACATTGAAACTTTTACGATTAATGCACCCAGCTCAGAGTTTGCATTGTCACTGAGACCATGCTTCTGAGCTACGAATATTGTGAATTTTCCCAAGGTGGTTAAATGCTGAAGTAACATTTTGCATTTCAGTTGGTATTTCGTCTCGAAGCATTTCATTGAGACTGTTGCAACTTTCCATGTAATTTTGGTGATCAGGAGATACATGGAGAGAGCTGTAAATGAAGTGGATGCTCACTATCAGTTAAAATTTCTGTAGCTAGTAGCTTGCAGGAATTTATGTGTCGATCAACTACAGTGTTAATCAGTTGAGCCAGAGACACACCACTCACCCTGCTGACTGTCTTCAAAGCCCTAAGCAACATAACATAGTCCTTTTTAAGAAGACCAAGAAAGATTAATGGGGAACAATATAGAAGAATAGGTAAAATGCAGGAATTAATAAATTGTAAAAGAAGCAGTTGAGTTATACCAGAAAGCCTCAATTTCTTTACGTAATAAGTTAAACGAAAGATTTTTTACAAGTCAATAAAATATGGGACGACCAACAAAGGTCAGAAGTAGAACACAACCCAAGATAGTTCACACTCGATTTACTTTCTGCAGAAATACCATTGATGCAGCAGGCGTCATGAGATTTAAGCAGCTCACATAAGTCTTGTTTACGCCTGAGGCTAAAATTAACAGTCTGACATTTAGAAGGGTTTAGTTTGAGACCATTTGAGAGAGACCATTTACCAACTTCAGACAAGAATTCATTTAATTTCGAGCAATCCAAAGAAGAGTTTACTGGAATAGAAATCGTCAGGTCGTCAGCATACTTGATAAAATTAGTTTCAACAGAATAAGGCAAATCGTGCAAAAAAAGGGAAACAGAAAAGGAGAAAGTACAGCACCTTGAGGCACACCAGCTTCAGTAAGCAATGAAGTGGAAGGCATTCCTTTATGAATAGTGTACTGTTTCCTTTCAGAAAAATAAGAATGCAGCCATTTTGTAACCCATGGATCAGTGTGAGCTATGGCAAGCTTATTTAACAAAAGTGGTCTAGGAACAGAGTCAAAGGCTGATGAGTAATCCAAAAAGGCACAACGGACATACTTAACACCTTTGTCGAGACTAGAAACAATATTATGATGCAAGACAGTAGCTGCATCTAAAGTACTCCTCCGGTGTTTGTAAGCAAACTGTTTTGGATCTCTGAAGGCCATCAATGAAGGCTCAATCACAAGCAGAAGTAATTTCTCCATTGTCTTCAGAAAAGGGGAAGTTATAGCGATGGGTCGAAAAGTAACATCTGATCCAGAAGATGGCTTAGGCACAGGTACAATTTTTATCTGCTTCCAAGCAGTGGGTATTATGTTTTTAGAGAACGATACATTGAAGATATCTGTAAGTGGATGACATAAAATATCTGCACATTTTCTAAATATGATACTAGAAACACCATCAGGACCTAAGCTTTGGGAGGGATTCAAAGACTTTAGACATTTAAATACATCATTTGTATTGAAACCTGGAAAGCAGCTATCCACTTGATTTTGCACATTAGGAAGGGTGAAAT